CACCTTCAGTGTTAGGGCCCCTAATAGGGAAATGGCCTTCTTTTCATTTATTTTCCTTTATTGTGTGACTTACCAACTAATAAATATAGTAACTCCACAATAAAGACCATCTAACTGTTTTCTAAGAAGCCACAGATCAGGTCCTCTGTCATTGTTGAGAGTAATTAAATTTCTAGAAGAAAATGTTCAATTTTATTACAGGTCAGCTTGAGTATACCAATTTAAAGCCCAAGCTGATCTATAGCCCTTGGTTCAGTACAAATCACACCTGCAGTCAGGTAAAAAGGTTTAAGCAATTAACCAGGCACTGATTTTTCAAGGAATAATCCATTTTCTTGTTTTGGAGACAGAATCTTAAGCATGAACAGGAGAGGAGGTGCAGGTGGTTTTTTGGTTGTTAATCCAAGAATTCAAACAGAACTTCCTAGCCCAGGTTCTGGAGCTGCAAGTGGTGGGATTTCTATTCCTAAGTCCTTCAGTTCTCTAGGAAACTCTGCATAAGCTCCTCAGTCACACACTTTTTTGTACACCCTTGGTATCTTCCCTAATTATCATTTCCCAGTGCCATGAGCTTGTAGTTTTCTTTGGAGAAATTTTTTTTGTCCCACTGACTTTAATGAAGGCTGAAGTGCTAGAAAGCATGATTGTCTTTCCAAGTCAGCCAAGAGTCTTTGACAACTTTAAAACAAATAACAAGAGACCTGAATAGCTTTTTGTGTCCCCAAAGAAACATGTATGACATCTATTGCTCTGTTTAGAGAAAGCAACAAATAAACTCCCAAAGTTAGTCAATTGATCCAAAAGCCAAAAATGCAAACCATGCTCATGCATTTAGCAGCATAAACCTGAGGGTTTTCAGCAAGTAATTATAATATTGCCCTGAAAGTAAGGATGATAGCAATGTAGCAGCTCAAAATAATGTCTTACTACATCCTTCCTAAGCATGTCGTGTCAAGCAGGTTGGGATTGTTCTATTATTAGATATCTTTACAGGAAATAGCAAATCAAGTTGTTTGCCTCATTCTCTAAATTGATCAGTGGCCAAAGAGAGTGGAGTGTCTGCGGATGCACGCTGGTAAATACATGCTAAATCTCATCCAAAACAAACAAACAAACAAACAATATTCTAATAAATACTTCCTACTGTAGAGTTCATTAAAAACAGTTCATTTCTGTCTTTCTGAATCAGAATCATGAAACTAGTGACAAAAAGCAGAAATTACTGTTGTCTTGGTCACTGTTTCTGGGTATTTGAGGAACTACAAAAAGGCAGCATGGTAAAGCATGCTACCCTACCCATGCTGTAGTGTTGCAGGACCTCAAAGGAATATATTAAAAGTCTACCTGCTTTTACAAGTACAACTCCACATATTGTGATACTTTATATATTGTCTAACCCACAAAAGAGTGCTCTATATTAATTTTCAAGTTTTTCCTAAAGGTTTAAAAGAATATTTTCTGAGGTTATAAATATATTTCTGGTTTGCTTTTGTCAGATATTTATTTGGTCAGCAACCACTCTATGAGTCCTAACTGACTCATTTATGGGAACCACTGAAAATCTGAGTGTTGAAACATTTTGCAAATAAAATTATTTAGAAAAAAAATGCTGTCATCTTCTTTACTACTATGAATAGTACAAGCACACACAAACTGAAGGCAGGTTCAACCCACGGTGACTTACTAAAAGAAAAATGTAAACCCCTCACATGAGAATTATACTTGAAGTTTATTATGCTTTTTCTCTCAGCTTCTTTTTAAAATAGTGATCTTTCTCTGTTTCATAATGACTCATGGCCCCGGGTACTGTAGCAATTTACATTGAAGCACACTTCTGAACTGTACAAAACAGGCTCCTGTAATGTAGCTACCTTTGTTTTAAACATCCTATCTACAAATAACTTACACAGAAATATAAAAATTTAGTTTTGTTAGAATTTTATCAGCAAATACGTTGCATTTTAACAAACCCTAAAACTATTTATGATATTGTTATCCAGTTCAATCTTGAGGAAGATTAAATTTGTGTGTTTAATACTCTGACTTTATATACTCAATATGTACATATGATTGTAGAGTTGTTGGATATTTTTCTAAGCAAGAGCTTGAAAATAATAATGGTTGCTTGTCTGTGAGGAAAACTTTCACAAAAGCAAATACAACCCTAAGGGACTGCTGTATTCAAATCTGGACATTTCAGAAGGACCTCCAATGAAGGGCTAAATATCCACAGTCTGACATTTACAGCTACCACATATGCATAGGAAATTTATTTAGGATTAATTTACAAGGGCAAAAAGATAAGGCACTAAAAGCACAGGTGAGGTGCTGTCACTCTGCTCACCCAGGACAGAACCTTGTTCTTGGGTGGTGGCGTTAGCAGGCTCCCAGCAGTGCCAGCTGCTCTCCAGCAAGGGGTGGTAGCATCTGCTTGTGAAGTCAGCCCTGGCTGTTCGGCTGCCGGCGCTGAGAGAAACCTCAGCAGCTCAAAAGAGAACGGGGGAAATCTGTATGTAACACCTGCAGGAGGCAGTGAGCTGGATATTAATTTCCATAATTTGTTTTTTTTTCCTTTTACATACTTTTTTTTTTTTTGCTAGAATTATGTTACAGTAATTGCTGCTAGTTTAAGAGTAATCTGCACAACAGTGAACATAAAGCACTTGGAACTGCTGCCATTAAAAAACCCCTACAATGTCAGTTGTGTTGAATCATGCAGGAATTTTTAGACCTTACTCTGGGATAGCAAATACTTTTTGTAGGTATACAGAAATGATGTTAAGCAATCTGTGTACTCAGAAGGTCCACAAGATTCTGATGAAATGATAAATTGAGTCCATCTGCTCTGAAATGACTCCATTTGTGATCTCAGCAGAAGATCACAATGGAAAATGTATTTTCCATTTCCTGCAGTTTTTAAAATCTTATTATCTAATCCAACTTCCAGTGAAGACAATTATTTTTAACAATCATTTTACTGGAAGATCCTTCTCCTTTCCAGTAAGAAGTGGTCTGAACAGCCTGTGCACTGCTTCTGTCTAAATCCTCCTCTAACTTCCGAGTGCTTTTGGACACTAGGTCCAAAATGGGAATGGGAAGACCAAGGTATGATTCAGTACCTTGCACATAGAAGTGTTGCAGGGCAGGGCTCAGAGGAGCAGAGTACAGCTCTCTTGCTGCACAGTCCTGTGCCTCGGGTACCTAACCACTTCTCCAGCTGTATTCCTTATCTGTTGTCTCACACAGCTGAAACTGGATTTAAATAAATTCCTTCCTGAAATTCAGCCTGAAATCATTCTAATAGCTGGGCAGTCTCAGACAACACAGCCTTTCCTATTTACTGAGCAATAGTGGAACAGGAGTTAGAGAGTCACAGAAAGCTGTCGTGCTTGCGATGTGTGCCCTGCGCTGCTGCTCCCTCCACGAGTCAACTGAAGCACATCGCTCGGGCCTACGAGAGGGGAAAGCGCCAGCTGGCTGGCAGGGCACAAATACAAACTGTGTTTAGTTACTAAGGTATTATTGCAGCCATGGTACGTCCATGGATGACTAACACATGGCTGTAGCTGCAGGTAACCAGGCACACACCTGCCTGCCATGGGCTGTATGCGGTTGCCTGTGATTAACAGCTCACCAGATAAGCTTAATCCAAAAAATCCATGGGAATCAGTGTTTCCTTCTGCTGCCTCCAGTGAGCTCTGCCTTGGACTTGACGTGTGGTAGAGCCAAGCTCCCTCTGAATTAGTGGCCGAGGCTTGGTGCCCTGAGGAACCACTGCCAGCCCGGTGAGACTCCCAGGGAACATTCTGGGACCCAACGGAGCGATGGGAGCCCGGCGCTGTGGGACAGCACGGACAGGTCCCCCATGTGCAGCCTGTGGCGAGGCGGGGAGCTCTGCCAGAGCCGCCACAGCAGCGGTCAGATGTAAAACACACTGGCTGTAAACTTCTGTATTTTTCAGAGTCCCGGGCAGAATTCTGTTTTCGCATCTGTACAGCGTGAACGCTTATGGGGGGACACACGGAGCCCCCGAGCCGTGCGGGACGGGGGTTGCAGACCCGGAGCGGGCAGAGCTGAGGGGAGAGCCCCTCACGATGGTGGGGAGCCCCTGACCATGAGCGGGAGACCCTGACCATGAGGGGGAGATCCTCACAATGGCGGGGAGCCCCTGACCATGAGGGGGAGACCCTGGCCATGAGGGGGAGATCCTCACGATAGTGGGGAGACCCTGACCATGAGGGGGAGACCCTGACCATGAGGGGGAGATCCTCACGATGGCAGGGAGACCCTGACCATGAGCAGGAGACCCTGACCATGAGGGGGAGACCCTCACGATGGCGGGGAACCCCTGACCATGAGGGGGAGCCCCTCACGATGGCGGGGAGACCCTGACCATAAGGGGGAGCCCCTGACCATGAGGGGGAGACCCTGACCATGAGGGGAGAGCCCCTCACGATGGCGGGGAGACCCTGACCATGAGGGGAGAGCCCCTCACGATGGCGGGGAGCCCCTGACCATGAGGGGGAGACCTTGACCATGAGGGGGAGCCCCTCACGATGGCGGGGAGACCCTGACCATGAGGGGGAGATCCTCACGATGGCAGGGAGACCCTGACCATGAGCGGGAGACCCTGGCCATGAGGGGGAGCCCCTCACGATGGCGGGGAGACCCTGACCATGAGGGGGAGCCCCTGACGATGGGGGGAGCCCCTGGCCATGACGGGGAGCCTCTGACGATGGGGGGAGCCCCTGGCCATGACGGGGAGCCCCTCGGGCCATGCCCCGGCGGTGCCGGCGGCGCTCCCGGCGCGGGAGCAGAGGCAGAGGCAGAGGCAGAGGCAGAGGCAGAGGCAGAGGCAGAGGCAGAGGCAGAGGCAGAGGCAGGAGGGGCGATGCCGCCGCGGTCCCGCCCCCGCCGCGCCGGGGAGGCTCCGCGGGCCCCAGAAACACCTCGGGCGGCGGCAGCAGGAGGAGGAGGAGGAGGAGGAAGAAGAAGAAGAAGAAGAAGAAGAAGAAGAAGAAGAGCAGAGCCCGGTCCCAGCCGCAGCCCGAGCCGCTGCCTGCTGCTCTCCCGCCGGCCGCAGGTGAGACCGCCCCGCGAGTGAGGGCTCGGGGGTCGCGCTGCGCGGACCGCGACACGAGCAGTGGAAGGCTCGATAGGTTTCCCGTACAATGGTTATTTACTGCCTCGTATGACACCACTAGATACACTTGGGAACAGCGAACAAATGTTGAGATCCATAAACGTTTTTTCCAAGTTTTTTTTTTTTTTTTTTTCTCTCAGAAAAGGGAGGTTTGGTAAAGCTGCGAGGCCTGAGTGTTGGCACATGAATGGAGAAGTTAGGGGGTTGTATTTTGTGCTCAAAAGCCAAAAGCTGGAGTTTTTTTAGTAGAGGGTATTTCAGATCCTTTTGGATTGCACTTTTTTTAACACAATAGGGCTTTAAACTGCCGAAGGAGGTACTTAAATACCTCTGCTTGAAATATCAGCAGAAGTTTGGTTTGTGTCTTGTTTTACTGCTGAATAGGTAAGTTATTTCTAATCTCCATGGGATGTGTTATGGCACTTTTATAACAAGTGTTAATAAAGGGCTTAAAACATTTTAAAACGTTGTACAGCATCGCATCACTGTTGCTGGGATGTTGATGCTGCCAGCGGCAGGTGAAGGATATCCTGGGACACGGACAAGGCATCACCAGGGACCCAGGACTCTGTTCAAGTCTGTAAAGCCTGAGACCTCTGTCATAAGCAGTAGGATATGGTCAGCACAAGTGCTGAGAACTGGGCAGAGACACTTTGAAACCCTTTCTGGACATGCAAAGTAAATATGCAGTGTAAGGTTTGAATTTGGTTCAGCAGAGAAGTCTGTTTTTCTCCTGCCAGATGTGTTATATTTTATTTGTATTACTGAGAGCCTGACACACTTGGTTGTGGCCCAAGACCTTGCCATGATAAGTGCTGTGCAAATATAAAGTGGGGAAAATCCACACAAATGTACCTAAAAACTTTGGTTTTGATTCTCATAATTCTCATAAATTATGAGATTTATTATAGGAAAAAAAAAATCTAGGCACTGCAATATGAAAATTTCTTCATAGTGGGAAATAAGCTGTAAATGTACCTGCATTAGTGACCTTACTGTTTTCAGCCAAAATTCATAATGGAGGAGTTTGAGGGGTGGTGATTCTTGTTTGTTTGTTTGTTTGCTTTTGGGGTTGTTTTAATAGAAAAGAGTGACCTGGAAACTTCTAAAAGGAACTCATTCCCCCCTTCTCCCCCCACCCCACCAAAAAAAAAAAACAACCAAAAAACCAAAAAACCAAAAAACCAAGTGAACTTGTTCACTTGATATCTTTATGTCTAAAAAGGAAAATTACTATAAAGCAATTTTGTAGCTATTATAGATTTTGAAGGCTACTAACAATAATTTCCAATACTATTTTTAGAGCAAGAGAAAAACTCCAGGAGGGTTTAATGCTTGTGTCAAGGTCAAAAGTAAATATTTTTTTTTCTTTGTTTAGGTATCCTGATCTTTCAAATGCTTAAGTCCTGAAGGAAATCTGAAAGGATTTTTGTGGTCCCCCGTAGGTGGAAAGAAAATGTTTTGAGGTGTATTTGCCAAAGTCACCACACCTTGACAGTTTCCCATATCCAGAAGTGTGGAACAGAACTGAGGTGTGTGTGGAATACTGCTCTGAAAACAGTAAACCAATACGGAAGATTTCTAATGGCTATTATGGCATGTTAGTTTTGCTTCCAGAAGCCATTAGTGACAGCAATTAGGGTCATTGGGGGTTCTTGTAAAGCAGCCATTAAACTTCTTAAATTTTTCTTAATGAAGCTAATGTCAATGCCGCTAAGAGAAAACAAGGGAGAGACTTCATTCCCTAATGTATGTGGGCATTTATGTCCTCACAGCTTGTGCTGAGTGAAAAAGCAGGTGCTGGTGCAGAGCTAATTAGTTTAAAGTGTAAGCCTAGAGATGATGATCACTGTTTCATGTCAAGGTGGTTGTTTGTGTAATTGCCAGTTGCTCTTAGATTAAAAATTAGAAAAAGACAGTATTCCCCATGGAATTATAATAAAATCTCTAAGTTGGAATCTTAGATTTATTCTTGTGTTACACCTTTGACATGGGTTTAACGTTACAGAATTTATCAAGATTAGTTTATTGTTACAGAATTTATCAAAATTACTTGTTCTGATTTTAACTTATTATGAAGTCTGTAAAATATAGAGTGAAATACTTCACCCAGTTATTGTTCCCTCAGTCTTACAGTTTGTGGTGAAGCCACGTTTCATCTTTCTGAAAAAGGATCCAGCCTACTTGGATTTGTTCCAGATTAATACAATGCGCTCAGCATCTGCAAAGCTTCTGTATTGCAAGCGTCATTTAGGACTTTTCTTTATAGAAATACGGATTTTTCTGTATAGAATTGTGTGAATCGGGGTGTGTTTTATGTCCTCGGAAGTCCGGCTGGGGGCTGAGGTGTGCGGGAGCAGCAGTGGGTGTGCGGTGGTGGCACCGGGGAGCCGCTGCCCCTCGCTGCCCTCCGCTCTCCGCCACAACCAGCCGAGATCTCGAACATCTCCAAAGACTTGCGCTCAGCCAAAACGTTACAGACCTTCCTGCAACCAGCAAGGCTCTCCAGGTGAAAGCCGGGACCTGCTTGAGCCAAAGAGCTCTCTCTCCTACCCTAGTAAAACCCGGTCAATATTCAAATTGAGAAGTGCAGGGTCTAAAACACCATTTGAGGAGTTAACAGGTTCTTTCAAAGGCTGAATACCTTATATAAAGAGGGAGATAACCTGTTCAAGTAGCATCTGCAAAGTTTCAAGATGATGGTCTGCAAAACTGACAGGATGTCATGGTGTGAAATAGTTTGTAATCACTGTGCGCTCAGATCATCTTGTATTACAATAAGGAAGTGCAACTTCTTCCTCAGGCCGTTACAGCAGACTTCACGAAGAGTCCGTCTTGTGTTTGAAAAAAAAAAAAGAGCTTTATAGTTTTGTATTTTACATTTTGAGAACAGTAAAGATATTGTTCTTGGATTTCCTCCTACTCTTACAAAGCCAGAACATTTTCAACTGGAAAAAAATGCTGCCTTAAAAAAATTATGAGTTTTACAACACTCTTATCTCATAATAAAAATCATTATCATTGTTATCACCAGAGACTTGGAAATCGCTTTTAATAACTGTTGTTTGCCTTTGACCTCTAATACCATCCTATCTTCCTAAGCCTCCTCAAATAGGATCCAGGCTGTGTCTTGTGGTGCTGAGCAGCAGGGTAGTCCATAGATGCAGGCAGGGGGACAAGCCATACATTGGATCTTTCCTTTGGAAGTGTTTTTCTTTGCTCAGTAATAACATATGATAGCAAAATATGCTGTAATGACATTTCCTGCACACCATGTGTAGGTCACTACTACTGAGCATTACCTCTTCAGTTAACAAGATTTAGGGTATAAAAGGTGGAATGATTCTGTGTAGGTTACTCAAAGAAACAGCAGAATTTAAGTAGAAACTGGGGCTGCTGTTCCTTTTCCAGCCAAAGCATTGCTTTACCTCAGTACCTTGGAATTATGACATGTGTTAAAATGTGCCCTCCAAACAGCTTTGTTTTGTGTAGTCTCTTTTCAGTAGCACTTTTACAAAAAATAAACAAACCTTCTCCTCTGTAGTAGCCAAGCTGCTGGTTTGATTTCTCCAGCACAGGCCCTGCCGTTCAGAGGCTTTAAAGAAGAGCCAACAGAAAGAAAGAAAGTTTCTAGAAAGAAATAAAGTAAGAAACAAAGTCAAAGCCGGCTCTCCTGTGACAGCAGGGCTGTATGCACAGCTTTTCCTAAGAGCTTCCTTCGCAGCTAATGGCCAAAATGCTCCTCTCTTAACAGCTGTTCTGTAATCCTCTTTTCAGCATTAAAAGTGGCTTCTGGTCTGTAATTAGAGGGAAGGAACCAACAGGGTGTGTTTAACTTCTGTCTCTGGGCACAAAACTAAAGTGAATAAGCAATGATTCTAGTTAAAAACGAAGTAACAAAAATTACCAAGGCTGCAACTGGTGTAAGTCAGAGAAAGGGGACAAGTTTCTTTGAGCAGAGCTGGCTGTTTGTGGCAGCCTCTCCCTCAGCTGCTGTGTTCACGCAGTGTCTGTGTGTTTGCTCTGCTCAGGTTGCTGCTGGCGCCTTCTGGCAAAGTGAAGTGCAGGAGGTAAAATTCAGGCTCATTCTCCAGTGATCCTGCGTCTCTTAAGGGCAGTGATGGGGCTTTTGTCCCACCTTCTGTTCTGTGGGATGCACAGACAAGTACTGTTTGTCATGCAACTTGTCATTCAGCCCACAATAAAAGAAATGTATTTTTTTGAGGTGTTCAGCAAGAATAGCAGTAATTTTTTTTTTTAAATAATGCTGCCTTGTAAATGGCTTGTTATAAAGCCACAAGCTTAGTCTCAGAATCAATACAAAAATGCTTAAAAGGGTTTTAATAAAGTTGTCAGGTCTTGAGACTGCTTGCTTTATTTCAAGGAAAGAGACAACATAGTAAATATTTTATAGGTAGACAAATGTAGAAGTAGTTTGCCTGTGACTGTATATTTTTGGCTTTAGGTTGTTACTTTTCACTCCACGAATATTTGTTATGACTAATAATGATAAGTTAGAATTTCAATGAGTTGAATAAAATATTGTAGTATGATGCTCTTCATTTATAATACAGCCTAGGTTTCAATATTTACTTATTTACTTAATGTCCAGTCTGGGACATTTTCTGCTTAATTTATATAAAAAATATACATTCATTCTGAGGGGTTCTTTGAAAGAACTAGTTGATGATCAAACCACCTAGCAGTGACTAATTACTTGAATACTGTTTTCCATTCAAGTAACCAAAAGGGTGAGGGAACAAGCATTCCAGGAGGATGACAGAGCACATGGAAGGGCTGGGCAAGGAGTGCAGCTGAGAAGGAGCTCACAAAGGTGAACTGGGACAGACTAAGCTCACTGAGGTTTATCCAAACTCAGCTGAAATTAATGGAAATGGGTGATAAAGCCCTGATCACTTAAATGCCAGATATTCTTAGCA